AAAGACAGAGTAGACCAGTAGCAGAACTGCTCATAATTCACTTCATTAAGGGCGCATAAATGGATAACTTAACGCTGAAAAGGCAGACATTAGCAGAAGAGTTTAAGGGAGCCGGGAGCCTCATCTTCCTCCAGCAGAGCGTTTGCTGGGTTTGACTGCTGAACGCCTGCAACCCCAGACAGCTCCCAATCTTTACCAAGGACTCAGCGCGCATGTAGGGGCATAGCTTCCACACGCAGCTGGGTAGTTGATACCTTACATTCACCTCCTGCTTGCGCAGACGCTAAAGTTCAGTCACAAGGGAGAGCTTAGAACGTGCTTAGATCTTGAAAATCAGATGATATTGCTTCCAGGGTTTCTTACTGTTGTCATCACTGTTCTGTAACATTTCTAAACGGATTTTGCAAAGCTTATATTCTTTCAAACACTATGGCCACTGAAATAAATGTCTGTTCATTCAGCTTGGTGGTCAGCTAATGACTGGACAAAGATTTCTCTAAATGTCTATAAGCAATAAATCTGGTTTGGACCCGGATTCTACATGCATGTCATGACATTTCTGCCATGTTCAGCCAAGCAGTTGACAACTGTTAGCCTTCCCTGCTTGTATGCACAAAGCCTCAAAATCAGGCTAACGTGAGAATTTAGGGCATTTTTCCTGGGCATGCACACATTTGAGATTCCAGGAGTCTGTTGGGACTTTTCAAAGTCCCTGGTGGCTTAGAGGTTATGCATTGGCCCGCTAAATTCAAGGTCAGCAGTTCAAAATCACTAGTTGCTCCACAAGAGAAAGATGGGGTTTTCTACTCCTGTAAAGAATTACAGTCTCAGAAATCTGCAGGGGCAGTTCTACCCCCTCCTAGAGGGTCACTATGAATCGGCATCAATTCTGTGGCAGTGAGTTTGGTGTTTGGACATCTTATTTCCCACGCTTTTCCTTTTAAACTTTTTGGTTAGCCTATTATCTGTCTCAATTGTTACCCACTGCCTCAGATAACTACAGAAATCATCAATTACTTCTAATTGTTCTCAACAAACACCCTTGAAGAAAAAGGCTTTCTTTGTCCGGGGAGAGCTTTGAGTCAGATCAAATAGAGACAGCCTTATAAGTGGGCTCATTCAGTGACCCACCAGAGAGATCAAAGATGACAATTCTCTAGAAATGAAGCTTTGAAGAAATTCCAACCCTATTCTGCTCCTCCTGGTGGCTGCCAGACTGTTTCCACAGTGACTCCAATTGTTTATTTCTAGGAATCATGGGTTACTCACGGCGCCAACCACAATGTCACACTTTGTACCCTGCAGCTGCTCCGGGGGATAGAGAGGAGGCCATCTGCTCCTGTGCAGATCTAGAGCCTCCGAAACCCTAGGAAGCAGTTCTACGCTGTCCTGTGGGGTCACTGTGATTCAGAATGGAGTCGGTGGCCTAGAGGGTAAAACTTGGAACTGGGAAACACTCAAAATATGTTTTGGTGTAGTAAAATATCATACGAAGTAAAATTAGTAAAGACAATAAGCAGCTTCATTTCTGTTCGGGTTGAGTCATACCATCGGTTTGCCATGAACCTATGGGGGAAATGACATCTTTGGATTTGCAGCTGAGGTATTGCAGACCAATGCTCCTTCTTTTTCTATAAAGGCGGCAGTGTAATACAGCTTGATTATTACACATAGGCTGTTTCTTTGTTTCTCTATATATTGGATTTAAAATTCTAGCTCATTAGGTCACTGGGGATGACAGAGCTACTGCTTATTCACATAACTATACAGCTCATTTTCATCACAGCTATGCCTCTGTCCACGGGAGCCAAAGGAGATGGTCTGTTCCTGTAGACTCAGTCTTGGAAACCCTAGGGAGCATCCTACTCTATCCCCAAGTGCCATTTCTTTGTTGTTGACTTAAAAGCAATGGCATCAGCAAGGAGCACAGGTTTTATGGCAAAGACAGACATACTTACCAAACCATATCGTCATATTTGGGTTACCATAACAATGCCAGCCAGTGGAACATGGAGGGAAGAAATAAAAGCCACTCAAAGTGTGTGCATGATATCCATAGCCCAGGAGAAAGTGTAACTGAGAGCGCTCCCTGCCAGCCAATGAATCCCGACTCATGGCGACCCCACAGGACCCAGTGGAAGTGCTGCTGGGGGTTTCTGAGACTGTAATTCGGTACATGCATAGAAAGCCTCATCTTTCCCCCATGGAGAGGCTGGGGATTCCAAACTGTTTACTTTCCAGCTGAGAGCCCAACACATGACCCACGACATCCGAGTCCTCACAATAAAATGTAGGTAATCTGCTTGTATAGCACCCTTTGCGTCATTCCGGCACCTGCTGGGCACCCATTTTGGGAAACACTCTCTTCCAGGCTAAAATCTTCTTACATGGCGGTTTACATAACTGAGAATGGGAGGGCCCTCAAAAGATCTGGCAACAGTAAGAGGTTTCCTAAGGCACATGGACCAACAATTAATTCCAAATCCACTGTGTAGTGAATCCACCATGTTTGCAGCAGCGCTTGCTTTGCTGTGAAGGTCTTGGTGGGGAGTGGCTGGGCGTGGGCAAAGTCTGAGAGGACAGATGTGCCCCAGAAGTGACACACGAGGCTCGAGAGCCTCTCTGCTGCTTTGCCATGGCGGCAAGGTGTCCGTTTAAAGAGTGCCGTGAAAAAAAAAAAAAAATAAATAAAGAGTGCCGTGACCGCTCAACGGGAAGGATTCTGAAGAACAGGGCAATGGACAGCACCCCGAGGGGCCAACCACTGGAGGCGTCTTTGAAAAGCAAGCTCTTTTCAAATGGGAGATCAGAAGGAGTTGAGAACACCTTTTGTCTGCCTGGCTGCCACAGACAGTCACAAGAAACAAAGACAATTTCAACAGATAGAAATACCAATATGGGAACGAGATGACAAATTACCGAAGAGGAATTACTCCTCATTAACTGAATGTAAGAGGAGAGGATCGGCCCACAGAAATCCTTGCGGCACATTGATAACCTTTAAGAACATATAATTAATAAAAATAAAAGATGCAAGTATATATAAATCATAACTAAGATTGTATTGTAATTTGTTGATATGTGACTAAAAGGCGGCCATTGACTTTGACCATTGGCTATTTTAGCAAATATCCAATTTTCTTAAGACCATAATTTTTTCCAAGTAATTCGAGGAGTGGTCCGGGACTGGGCAGTGTTTCCTGCTGCTGAACATGGGGTTGCTATGAGTTGAATCTGACTACATGGCACACACAACAAAGATCGAGGAATAACTTGAATACAGATTTTGGTAACTGGTGAATGCTCAGTGACTGTCCAGTTGACTTATTAAGGTTTCCCAGCCACTTCCATGATTTCAATGACTACCAATACGTAGACGACCGACCAATTCATATCAACAGATTACTCTGAGCTTCAGATATCTGCCTCCTTGATTTATCTTTTTTTCTCGAAAGCATCTCAAGTTCACCTTGCAAAAAACGGAAATCACATGGTTTTTCTCAATCGCGGTCTCTTCCAGTATTGGAAGACTATCACAATGGTTTTGAGCAAGCAAAAACGATGTATCAAAAATGGTCCCTTTTGCTCACCATCATAGCCAATGTATCAATAGCTGATATTAATTTTACCTCCTAAATAGCTTGGAACTCTGTCCAGTTCTTCCACCTCTAGTCTGGTCAAAGCTATTATTTCTCTAATATGTTTACAATAGCCTCCTAACTGGTCTATCCACATTGACTCTGCTCAGCTACCACCATCTGTTATCCACATTAAAGCTGAATAGCTAGAGAACACAGCGTTTAGAACGGACTAATGAAGTTCTTGATCCCCATCCTGCAGTTCCTGACTTAGCTACTGTGTATCATTGTATGCTGTTCCCGCTCAGCTGAACTACCAGAAATCCTCTGCCTTCATTTGGAAATGGTTTTGCTAACTGTTCCTCTCTGGGTCACAGTCTACTCCTCTGCAGCCTTGACCTTCTCTTATTGATGCAGTACACTTGGAATGATTATTCCTAGGGCACAGTAAGGACAAGACCCTAGCTGTCTTAGGAAGAAATAGCAGCAAGCGATAAATCTCAACAAAATGAAAGGATCTACATCTTCTTCTGAGTCTCAGGGACTCCAATATCATGGGCATACGTAATGATTTCCCCTACATGGAAAATGACAAGACACTAAGAGGAAATCTTTTTGAGGATTGAAAGCCTATTTAGAAAGCACCGGTGTGTCCTCTTGAGCAATACTGAGCCCTGGGGGTATCGTGGTTAAAGCGTCAGCTGCTAGCCACAAGCTCGGAGGCTTAAAGCTGCTGGGTGCTCTGTCGGAGAAAGAAACGGCCATCTGTTTGTGTGCAGATGTACAGCCTGGGGGACCCTAGGTGGGCAGTTCTACTTAGCAGTGGGGTGGGTTTGTTGGTTGGTTTGACCCATGAACATATAATGTAGAAATCTACCCAAAACAGAATGAAAGACTTTATAGCTGGCATAGTCTACCATAAAAGCTGTCCTGTCAGCCGGCCCAGTGGCCACCATCGAGACCATCGTGTTCAAGATGCACGAAGCGAAACAAAATGACATGCGCGAACTCTGCTGAGGCTTCGAAGTAGAGTCGCCGTGAGGTTTGACAGCTCATTCATTGTCACTCTTCTGCTGAGAAACAGCCAAGACCAAACATCGGATTATGGAGTCAGGAGAGTATGCAACCAGAACTGCCCCCATGAACCGGCGTCTTGTCCAAGCCGTGCACCTAGCCTTGCCTCAAAACACTCCCGACAGGGTCATCCGACAGAACAGACCAAGTTATTCAAATAAACAAAGTATTTTTTAAAAGGGTTGCTCACTTGGACCACAGAAGTAAAGACATTTATGTATTCATAGGAAGAGTTTAGTAAAATCTTGAATGTGGACTGAACGCCTGAATCTGTTCCTAGGAACTAAATGATTATTATGTCGCAGGACATCAAATATCTTTCTGGACTGAATTTCACCACACATTATGTTTCATTAATAATATTTATTTTAAAGACCACTGTTTTATTGTAAGAAATATAAATTTGTTGGTGCTTTACAAAATGTCAAAAATGCTTGAAGTACAAAAAAAATGCATTAATAAAGGAAAGTTATATTGTATTATCTGGTTACATACTTAATACTATTGACATGCACACCATAGTTCAGAAAATCCCATGCATTACTGGAAGCAACCAAGAAGAAATAAAGATAGAACAGCTAATACTGTCTGATTACAAGTTCATTGCTTCGGTCAGTTTTCGTTCTTCAGGGATGCCATTTACCTGCAATGTGTAAGAAAGAATATGTGGGTGAGTTAGTCAGGGTTCATACAATTGTAGTTCTAGAGCAAAACAAATTATGGCAAGGAGTAATATTCTGCCTGCTTTGCATAATTAAAAATAATTATTTTGTATTACTTCTCTGTATTTGGCTTAAGGGTAAAAAAAAAAAAAAGACAAATTCTAAATGAGTCTTCTACTTCCTGGACCAAAGCCACAATGTTTTGTACATATCAAAAGGTACACCCTGAAAAATCCTCCCACAATAAACAAAAAGAATGAGCCTGACTGTGGGATGTATGACTGTACCTTTTAATCACGGCTTTTTAGAAAATATCGTGTGGGTTGGAAGGGCAGAGAAAATGAGAAAACTCAAAGGGGCATCAAACCTAATGGCTTGGGCCCAGTCCAATAGGTAAGGCGATTGTCGATCCCTAACTGCCCTATTATCCCAGCTAGTGCTTAAGCCCAGGATTACAACAGCAGCAGCTAGTTCATTTTTCAAACTTTTAATGAGAATTTAAAAGGAAACAACTAAGTAAACAAACAGAAACTTCAAAATCAACGCTCTCTGATGAATTCCATATAGTTCGATGCAAATAAGATTTGCTATCTAATAGATACACTCTGTGCCTAAATTAGCATGGCAAAAAGCTCCAACCAGACAAACAATAAAAAACAAAACAAACTCAGAGAAAGCAAGGGACTCATCAGACACCCATGCAGTCCCCTCTTTGTGGGAGAGTAGCCACGGTGGATGGACAGAAAAGCGGCGGGCGTACGAGGAAAACCCACGAAGGGCACTGAATCCACACACTGACGGAAGAACGGACTCACTCAGAAATCGAGAAACAAACTTTACATTTTTCACGTAAACAGGCAGAATGGGAATGCGGGACGTCATCGGTGCGTTTCGCACTTTTCTCCGGGTGGCAGGCCTCCGGTTCGTTTACATTTGTCGGAGGCAGAAACATCTGTCCTTTTGACATTTTGTAAAGCATGCAACAAGGGCTAAGCTGGGGTTTCTCCCATCAGCACTTAAGATGCTTAGGGAATGAACTGAAAAAACAAACAAAACTAAAACAACCACCACCAAGCAAGCAAGCAAACAAAAACACAGGCCGAGAAAAACAGCAATAAGGGAAGGCACTTCAGTTCACAAAGTATTCCAAATTGCAGGAAAATGCACAAAAACAAGAAGGTAATAGACTATAATATTAACTAAAAAGGAGACCAACCCCTTCTTGACTCAAGCAAAATGCCTGCTACACAAAACCTGTTTTAGAAAAATAACTTAGAAAATTAGATACAGCTTAACCCCCTGGGGAAGTTCTTTGACTCTTGACCCTATTTGTTCAGGCATAAATTGCCCAGGTATTTGGAAATGCTCCTGATTACTGAAATGTAACACACTAACGGGTCTAATCTATACTATGATAAACCAAGTATCATCGACCCAAGTTTCCTTATTTCCAGAATGATAAAAGAGCTAGATTTTTTTAAAACTTAAAAATAAATATTTACTATTTTTCTAGAAATCACCTCTTTTCTACTCACTCCATGCCTGAAATAATAATCAAGAATTAGAAGAAATAAATCTTAGGAGGGACGGAAATCCCTAAGGTTAATGAGGGAGAGGTTCTAATACTTCTTTTGTAGAAATAAGCTTTATTTTCCTTCTCCTTAAAAATGCTCGTGGTACTGGGATTCCTTTATTTTTCTTGCCCTGTTGGTAACAAATGTTTACCATAAAGTTTATTCCTTCATCAATCTCCTGGATGCTTATACAGTAGCACCCCCTCATCAATATATTGAACAGTCTTGTTGAAAGGCGTTAGCATTTAATTAAAACCAGTAATCAAAATTGTGCGGAAAAAATTCTGATGTTACCTTGCAATTAAAATTTGATGAACAACGTCATTATACTTGCCTCAAATCTTTGAAAAGTTGTCAAACGAAAGTCTCCTTATATTCCCGAAAGCAGTAACAAAGAAGATAATTTTTTAATGAAAACATCGAAGAAGTGTGTGTGTGTGTGTATCTATATGTACACACATATATATATGCCTGAAGCTGTAAGAGACTTACAAGCTCCCCTACCACAATGGTACCATTCATCATCAGAATTCCTCACCCACCTTGCACTTTTCAAAACTACTCTTGCTGTTCCAAAGCGTTACAAAGACATGACTGGTTGCCTGGCAATTAGAACCAGGAATCAACCACTAATTAAAAGACAATCATGAATAAGTTATCTACTCCGTACCAAGATGAATGAAATAATTGCCTGTGGAAAATTTTAGGGACACTTGAAAGAAATAAACGTAAAGAAAGCAAGCCTTAGAGAAAGGACAGACCAGGGAGAATTGTCCGCCATCTTGCTGTCACTGGCCACACTCTAACAGCTTTTTAAAGGGGCTTTAAAACCAGGCCAACTATTTCTCATTGACCCCTGAAGCCTCAGTGATTAGTCACATGGTTTCCTTTTGTCGGAGTCAGTCTTGAGCTGCTCACTTACTGAAACAAATCCTGGAGCATCCAAGCTAAGAATCTTTCCGACCAATGGGACGAATAGGGAGATGCGTTGAAGGAGAGGGTTTTGTTCAGTCTTCCTTAATTAGACAGGACCTCCATGGATGTTTCTGCTCTAAGATCACTTACCCTGGGTTTATTACTCTGCTGCCATTCCACACAACAATCCAAACTATTCTTCTGAAGTGCTAACTCTGATTCAGTAATGGCACACCTGTTTTGCCTGAGTTAGTGAAGCTAAAGCTTTACAAAACACACACTGCTGTAATTATCTTTTTCTATTAACTAAATCTGTAAACATTAGTTTATTATGTTTAGTACTCACCTGTAGTCTGCGGTTGTGGAATCTGTGTCTGATGTGGCAAGTTCCTAGAAGTGATTAAAAATGTTGAATAAAACAATCTTTCTCCATGTACCCATGTCATCAGAGACCTATGTGACTGAAAAACATACACGCACAGACACACGCAGCAACAGCACTGCGTTGAGCTGATTCCAACTCAGAGTGACCCTACGTCGAGCTTCCACGGCTGTAACCAGACATGAGCAGGCAGCCTCACCTCTCCGCTGAGGAGCGCCTGGGAGGTTTCCATTGCTGGCCTTTTGGGACAGTACTACCAGGACTCTTCCTACGGGAAGGTCGCTGGAGTCATCTAATCCTGCATAACTCGGGCTCGTACTCCAGGAAGTTACGAATTAAGAAAAACAAGCTCTAAGGAAGAGAAACAGTATCTTGTAGCATTCCCTGATTTGTTGAGTGGGTTAAGCGTTGGGTTGCTAACTGTAAGGTCAGCAGTTCGAACTCACCAGCTGCTCTGTGGAAAAAAGAGGAAGCTTTCTGCTCCTGCAAAGATTCCCCGCCTCGGCAACCCAACCGGTCTGTTAATTCTACTCTGTCCGACTGGCCAAGGAGACCCAGAACTGACTCAGTGGCCGACTGTGTTTAATTTATACTCTAACTCATAACAACCCTAGGACCCAATCTTTCCCTCACTTTACAGAGGAATATACACAGGCTTAGAGGGTCGAGGCTACAGAGCTAGGAAGTAATGAACAAAGATCTCCAGCTCTTACCTGTACCCGTTCGGAGTCAGACCTAGAACACACATACTATCCACTCACCAAACCACTTTTCCTTCGCGATCCCAAGCCGTCTTCCTTCGATCCTAGCCCAGAGTCGCGGACTGAAACTGCCAATCCATCCAGTCAAACGTCGTAAGTCTTCCTTGACCCTTCCTGTCCCTTAGCCGCCATACAGATTCCCTTGGGAATGCTTGACACCCCTTTCTAGCGTCTGTGAATGGATCTCCCTTTGCCCATCTTTCTTGCTAATAAACTAGTTGAGACCTTCGCCATTTTTCACTGGGGTCACTATTTTCTCACTCCCATTTTTCGCTCCCTCAGAATCAATCCAGTTTGTTATCAAAATGAATTTTCTAAGACACCAATCTGGTTTTGTTACTTCAGTACAGTGGTTCGCACCTGTGGGTTGCGACCCCTTTAGGGGTCAAACGACCCTTTCACAAGGTCGCCCAATTCTTAACAGTAGCAAAATGACAGTTATGAAGTAGCAACAAAAGTAATTTTATGCTTGGGGCAGAGTGACACCACAAAATGAGGAACTATATTAAAGGGTCCTGGCATTAGGAAGGTTGAGAACCACTGCTTCAGTAGATAAATAATTTTCCAGCTTTTCTTACTTAAAACAGTAACTGCATGTAACTGCGAGGAGTACTGAGTCAAATAGGATGGCTTTGAAATTCAGTTTCAGGACTTTTGTTTTGAACTGGCCTATGAAGCCACAGTAGACACAGGCTGTATAGGAAGGGCCCCTGCCTGCTGGAAGCGCCACGACCCACAGCCTCTACCATCTCTGCGCCCAGATGGCTCCCATCCATCCTTTCAGGTGCAACTCAAAATGCATTGCAGTGGACACGTATCGATTTCATAATTAAAAACCAAACTTAAGGTGAATGTCATTAAAATGAATTAAATACAACAACACATCTCACGTACCAGACCTGGTCTGCCTCCTTGCCCTCCTAAACACCCCTCCCCATATGCTTTCACGCACATGCTACTTGTCAGGATTTCATGCCATAAAGCATTCAATCATCTTAAAGTACTGAGTAACATCAATAGTCATCCGTTTCATTTAGTAGCCCTAGCAATTACTGTTTTTCACAAAACGTTTTCTTTTTAACAAGTAAAGATATTTTCAATGACCTCATAATACACATATGTTTACTAACACACCGTCTCACTTCAAAATCTTGTATTAAATTGGTTTCGGAAAAACATACATTTAACTTCAAGGTGGAAAGAAATGCCAGGCGTCAGTTCCTTGCTACCTGATTGGGCTGAGCCAGACAATTTTAAGTTCCTGTTCTCTTCAGCAGTGGAACGCTTTTGAATTGAAACCCTAGTACACAAACGGGCTAGACGGGAGGTTGCTGGGCTGGCACAGGGAGTTAGGAATCCCACCTACTTTGTTTTCTTTGACTTCAGTGCGGGCCCCTGGTGCGGTTCAGAGAAAGTTTCAAGGAAATAAGTTTGGTAACCACGGACTTGAATAATTGTGACCAAATATTATGTTCTAAATATAATTATCTAATATAGAAAACAGTCTATAAGCTCGTTAAATGCTGCAACCCTTAAATCAAGCTCTGGGCATGTTAATGACTTTAAGTGATTTTTTTTAACAATTCAGTTCCATTTACAATATATTCTTATAGAGATAATAGTATAAATTCTAACTCAATCTAACAAATCTGCTTAATAATTATATCCCAATAAATACACATTCTTTTTGGTTATATCCTATTGGCCATATTTATGGTTTGTATGGGTTAATTGGGAGTATTATTTTTGTGTAATTTTTTTCTTGTTTCTCTATTTCACACAGTGTATGTATATTGGTTTTGATATGAAGAAGGTTAAAAAGATTAATTTGCAGACCACAAAGAGGTAATAAATTCTAGATTCAGAGATCAGAAAGTAAGTTTATTAAATAAGCCAAAATGGGCACTGGGAGGAAAGGGTTGGCCTTAGAAACGACCACACACACAAGTTTGTGCACAAACTCAGGTGATTCTGCATTCTCTATCTCTAGCCAAAACTAGTTTAGTAAATTACACCAACACTTAAAAAAACCAATACAATCTTAACAAAAATAACTTTGTGATTTTTTTAACAATTCAGTTCCACTTAAAATATAAGCTTATAGAGATAATAGAATAAATTCTAACTCAATAAATAAAGTAACAAAGTAAATAATAAATAAATAAAAGTAACAAATAAAAGTAACCACTTTTATTTTAAATAAAATAAATACTTTTATTTTAAATAAAAGTAACAAAGATGACAAAGACAGCCTGAATGTTGGTATGTGACACAAGTAGAGGTAAGTGGTGAGCAATAAAACAGGTTTTCCAGAAGCCCTATAAGAGGACACCAGATTTTAACATAAGTAAATATGGAGAAAGGGACTTGGGAAGCCTTTTGGTTTGAGCCCCATCCCACTTAACATTCTGCGGAGCAGCTTGAAAACCACTGGCCAGAGCCAGAACAGAGTATGGAGGACGTTGAGAAGGATGGGGATTCCGGAACCCTTTGTTGTGCTCATGCAGAAGCTGTACATGGATCAAGAGGCAGTTGTGTGAACAAGGGGACACGACATGGTTCAAAATCGGGAAAGGTGTACTTCAGGGTTGTGTCCTCTCCCCATACTTGTTCAATCTGCATGCTGATTAAATCATCAGGAAAGCTGGCTTATATGAAGAAGAATCTGACATCAGGAATGGAGGAAGGCTTATTAACAAGCTGCACCTCCAGATGACACAACCTTGCCTGCTGAGAGCAAGGACTTGAAGCCCTTGCTGATGAAGAACAAGGATTAAAGCCTTCAGTAGGGATTGCAACCCACTGTAAAGAAGACCCAAATTCTCACAACTGGACCAATAGGTAGTCCCAGGATAAATGGAGAAAAGGTTGAGGTTGTCAAGGATTTTGTCTTGCTTGGATCCACAATCAATGCTCATGGAAGCAGCAGTCAATGGATCAAAAGACGCATTAGGTAAGCCTGCTGCACAAGGCCTCTTTAGAGCATTGAAAAGAAAGGATGTTACTTTGAGGACTAATGTGTTCCTGCCCCAAGCCATGGGATCTTAAGTTGACTCATATGGATGTGAAAGTTGGACACTGAATAAAGAATACTGAAGAATCTATGCATTTGGATTGTGGTGCCAGAAAAGTCTATTGCAAGTACAATGGACTGCTAAAAGGACAAATCAATCTGTCTAGGAAAATGTATGGCCAGAGTGCCCCTTTGAGGCAAGGATGGCGAGACTTTATCTTACATACTTCGGAATGTTTTTAGGAGCGATCAATCTCTGAAGAAGGATATCATGCTTGGTAAATCAGAGGGACAGTGAAAGGAAGGACGCCTTCAATGAGCAGCACTGACACGGTGGTGGCAACAACGTGCTCAAGCACAGCAATGATTGTGAGGCTGGTGCAGGACCGGGTGGTGCTTCCTGCTACTGTGCATCAAATAGCCATGGGTCGGAACTGACTCAGTGGCACCTGACAACAATAACAATGCCAACCTACTATCCCAACATCTCTTCTCTAGCTTTCAGTATTTCCTCTTCTGCTCCATGGCAAAACTTTCTACGTAGCTATGGATTTGGCTGCGTTTCAATAGAGGGGGCTGATTGGGAAAATACCACAAGCAAGTTTAGCAGGCAGGTATGTGTGAGAAAGCAATTGCCTGTATGTATAGTGGTGCACTGGTTTAGGGATTGTGAGTATCTATAGTGTGTGCCCCAGTTGGTTAAATTTGAATGCTGCACCTATACTCTTGATGACTTAAAAGGAAACTGCGATGGGATATATCAAAATATTTAGGTTTGCAAAAATGTGTTCGTCCAACAACAAAATATGTTCAGATTCACCTTCCCCAAAGTCCCTAAAGGTTAACACAGGTAGTTGTGTTTTGGGGGCTGCCCAAACATGTGGCTCCATGTAGCTACATGTCAGTGTTGGAGTGTTAACACACCTAAGATGGGCATATTTGAAGTGGTGTTTTCTATTTAAGAACTGAAGGAAGGTAGCACACAAGAGCATTGTTTCAGACACATTGCCTACGACTTAACTCTGCTAGAGTTCAGCAGCAGAGAATGCTGGGAAGAAAGTGGGACCATTTCCATCCTTGGTGGAAGCAGGAAGCAAAAGGTAATTAGACAGGCAAGTGGGGGTTGCCTTCAAAGAGAGGCACTACAATCCTTCCAAGAAAGGCCCTTTATGAAGTCATAAAGCTGTTTAGAATAATTAAGTTATTAATGGGTGAACTGAAAGGTTATTCTGTA